TCTTGAGGAGCCACCAAAGACCCTCTTCGCCATAATTTGAACAACAGTTCAGATATAAACTCTTGAGATTCGGACAGTTTTGACCCAGAATTTTGACCGTATAATCAGTGGTCTCTCCCGAGTCATAGACTAATGTCTCCAATAGAGGACAAGAAACAGCTGTCGATTGCATAACCAAACGACAGAATAATTAATAGGCGTTTCAGTAAATCATTGGTATTTTTCAATGCAATGACACTTTAATAGTTAATAATAGATCAATATTTCATTAAATTAATGGCAAAAATAATAGATTGAAAGCGAAATATGAAATGGTATTCAATAAATCAATAGCTTTTTTAATGAGATTTGTGTCTAAATTTTCTAGTGATATTTATAAGACGATTTTCTTTACGGTATTTATTTTTGTCTGTTTATTATGGATAATAAAGTTCCCGAAACTTTAGCTCTTTTAAACAGTGTACAAAATTTAGTTAACTGAACTCTAAGGGACACTTTTTAAGTATTGAAAACAGTGTTTCCGATTTCAACGCTACAGGGATTATGAAATCAATTATAAGTATAGTTTTAAAACAAATAAATAAAAGTTTATTTTCGTTTGCAAAATACCCGGAGCTTCAAAGCGAAAGAATGTCGACGTAAATGACAAGTGAGATCTTGTGGACCAGATTCTGGCCATCAGACTCTGCCATCGTTTGCACACTAAAAAGTTAATACACAAAATGTCACTTAAAATAGATTTTAATGTTGTTTAATACCGAGTTCGAGGACTGTTTGGTCGACCAGATTCTCCAACTGTGCGAATATATGGTCTTAGTGCAGCAGCAGGTTCAGCAGTTTGCACCGGTGGCTAAGCAGGTGAGCAAACACTGAGTTGTGTTTCAGTCTATATAAAACCAGGTTTATCGCCAAGGCCATGAGTAGCGTGTCTTGTGCAACGCGACTCAACTCCTGTACTTCGGCTTTCATTTGCTTAAACACTTTAGGTTTGGCCAAATTTACCCGAAGTTGTCTTTACGGTCGCAATACAGCAAAACAAATGATATAAAAACACAGAGTTTTCAATGGTTTCACACAATAATCAATACCTGTTATCTAAAACCAGTTCACTTGGATCGGCGCTGAGCACAGTTTGCACATCACAGACACGTTTAAATGTTATGAATCCATACCTGAATACGATTCACAATTAGTTTTTTGAGTTTTGCGGACAAATAATCAAATGATGATTTAGTAGTGAAAGAGATTACGTGCCCTTTGGGTAACTTTTTAATGTGATCCTTAACTATACAACAATTGTAAACTTTACCAAACTTTTGAAAAAATTTCGACAATTCAGTGTCCGTTACCTACGAATAGAAAATTAAATCAAAATAACAAACAAAAAATACAAATAAAAGCATTGATAGAATGAGTGAGAAATTCAATAATCAGTTTTTTGGCATTTAATTTATCAATAAAATCAGATATAATTTGTTTAAAAACATTTCATTTGAGTTTCATTTCGTGTCAACAATTGTTTTATGTTTTTGTCTGTGACTAGAGATTAGATGAGAGAAAGAAAATAACTGTTTTGTTGTGGAAATTAACATAACATTTATAATTAATGATCGCATTGAATATCATTTGGATAATAATATATGCGGTAATAATAGGAGATTAAAACTGTATTTACAATACAATACTCGGAGATTAGTGTCCCCTCAAGTCAATGGGTTATATCTTAAGATGGGTTCCCGACATAAGTCTATCAATCATCACATACTCTATAACTGATATTTCCTACAAAAAGCCGCCGTTGGTTCGCTTCGTCCGGCGGTTCGTCGGGATCGGTGTCGGCGGGCGTCCGATGCAGTCGATGGCTGTGACCGAAGTAGTGTTCGCCGCCTCCACCGCCACCACCACTACCGCCGTAAAGGTTGGACCCGTTTGTACTCTCTTCGCCTTTGGTGTCCTCAATGACCGGCTCGTCGATCGGCGACGCGATGTCCATCGGCTGAACGTCCGACACGTCGTGTAAGCCGTCGCCGGCCGACGATTGACTGAAGGACGGCGACACCGAACGCATCTGTTGGTCGCCGGCGCCAGAGATGGCCGAAAGGAAACCGCGATTCTTGCGCGGAGACGGCGTCCGACAGAGTCGCTCACGGAGTGCCTGTTCTGTGAACTGTTGAAACGCCTCGCGGTGTATGGGAGTGGCGACGGGTGTGGCCGGCAGTGACGACCGGAATACGGCGCCAATCGGGAGACCCGGCAAACAGATGGTGTTGAGGCCCAGAAAGGCCTCCGAATGCAGTTTCTGTAAGTGTCTGAATCGGGAGCCAAACATACTTGTGATGAATATACCGGAACTGCTTCGCCGTTGATTCAGCAACAGCTTCGCCGACGGATTCATATGCAGGCCTATTGTGTTGGGCGCCAATCGACGCGACAACGACTGAGTCGAGTACGGCGTCGACGGTTCCGTCGCCGAAGAGAGACCGCCCACGAAACTGAGCCCTGGATTACGGATGGTATGCGTGGATCTGTTGCCACCTCCGGAGGGCGCCGACCCGTCGCTGGGATCGCAATCCATTTCGGTGTCCATCATATCGTTGTCTTCACCGATCAATGTGTTAATCAGTACCGCAGACCCAAACCGCGGCTGTCTTTGGTGTGTATGTCTTCGAGAGTTGTGTCCCACAAATCAATTGATCCCAAGATTTACAGCTGAGAATGAGTGAGAAATATGGCGTCAATTGTGGCCAAACGGGCAGATAATGGGAAGCGTTTCGATGATGAGATTCTTAGGCCATAATCACAGTGATGGATGAGATGATTGATGTCAGTGGTCAGCGGTTGTCCATCGGATCCATCGGTTGTTGTCTTAATGTGTTTTGAAACAAATTGTTGACAAAAATAGCATTCAATGTAAACGTAATGACTGTTTATTATTAACGATCGGATGATTGTGTGAGGGGTTCAGTGCTGTTGGACTACAGTCGACGCGCGCTTTGGTGTACACAATGTGTTTGGGCCGTATTGTGTCCACTCGTGTGTTGAGTTATTTCCCGTTTGTGTACTGTTTCTATGACTTTACGCCCGAATGCTTTTAGTGAACTATGACTGTATTAATATTGTGTACAGAGTGTTCACGCGATAATTTTCACTGTATTTAATATCTTAAGTAGACTGTATTATATTTTGCTGCTGTCTGTTCATATACACTGTTACGGAAATTACTTTATTGATTATTCGCCCCCTTTCTGTGATGAATACATATTCAGAATATTCTGTGAGATTCTGTGAGATTCTGTGCCCAGAATTTGTTTGAATAGTTTATAATTTAGTTTTTAATTAAATTAAATTGATTTGTTTTATTTCACTTAAAGTTATGGTTTATATTTATTGCATATGGAGTTTATGTTTATATTTAATTACATATAATTTTATGGTTAAATATGTTTATTATAAGTAATTTCTTATCAATAGTTTCGATGAATTTGTCCGCAATTTAAACAAATTAATGAATTAACAAAATACAAGTCAACAAAAAATAATACATTGTATTAAAACATTGTATGTTTTTTGTATAGTCTTTTATTGATTTAAATATTTATTGAAAAACAAAATATCTAAAATTATGAATTTTAGTGTATTGTCAACAAGTGTATTTAACTCGTTTATTAATGAAAATTTCGAATTGTTTATAGTTATAATTAAAATAAATGACTAGATTTACCCTCACGTAAGAGGTTTCAAATGAAAGACAATCGTTGAGATCAAGTGTCGATTGAATGGTAGGCATACCAGTGGTTAGAATATGAATGGACTCAACCATTTCAGCGCCAGTAGTAAATGCTAGAGAGAGAGAGAGAGAGACCTTGAGATTCTTGCCAACAAATACCGGGGAAGCAAAGCATTAATCGATGACAAGTCATACCTCAATGACAACACTGATGAGGACGAGCTGAACGTCATCAGTGATGCCCACAATCTTCGAGATGAGTCTGGTTTTGGCGATGAGAGCGCAGTTGACGATAATCGCGATGTAAGCGATGGCGTTCAACACGTCCTCCCATTGGCCGATATCGCGGACCCGATGGCCGCCGAACGGCCGCTGATATATGACACAGAGTTTGAAGGCATCGGAACGGATCTCAATGATGTTGTTAATGAGGGCGCAGACGGCGGCCATCGGGAAAGTGGACGAGAAGAGCATAACGTAACCGAATTGTATGATGAGCTCGAGGTAGTCGTCGAAAGTGCTGTCGTATCGCCGCATATTGGCCTCCAATTCAACCGATGAGATCTCATTGACACGGATTTTGTGCAACTTTGCCGAGAGTTTGTACGACTCCCACACGAACGGCACAATCGACTCTTTGATGTTACCGATCACCTGACGTGTGATCAATAGAGTCGCCAATTGCTGGGGAAACAAGTGGTCATTACATGTGATAAGTGGAAGAATATACCAATGATATGAATACCTCCTGAAGTTTATCCATATCTCCGATATAGAAAGCGATGTAAAAGAGGGATAAAAACGAGTTCATGAATTGGAGCTAAGAATTGAGATAATAAATGGCAATAAATGGTAATAATTGTAATAAGCGTTACATTCAATAATCAATAAATTTTTAATCAAAATTCTTACTGAAATAAGTTTTAATATAAGATTATTCTCGTGTGTAGTTTCCAATTCATAATTCTCTGGATAGAGATTAAGTTAAAACATTAAATTTAATTGAATTAATTCAGTCATTTCAAAATTCCTACCCTTATTGTTGAGCCAAACGGCTAAACAATAATATATGTCATCAAATATTGAGATGAGAATCGCTAACAGAATTTTCGGTATATATTTGGTCCAAACGGGAAAACCTGATTCTTGTATGAGAACGACATCCCAATAGGTCTTTATATCGAGAAATGAATTAAAACAAGTCATTAAAACATACATTTCATCGATGGTATGAGTGATTCGCAAGAATATTCTATACCTGAAACCTAAACACAGCAATCATTACACCGAATATGAATAGCAAACAGAAACCAATGATTGGATAAGTAATGAAATATTTAAATAATTTGCGTTCGGTTTCAACACTTAAAGAATCGGTAAAACTCGTGTCGCGGAAGAGTGGTCTTCGGACCAGCTGTTCGTCGCCGGTCTCGAACCGGTTGAAAGTGGAGTTCCATCCGTGGATCAGTTGTTGGCTATTGTGACGCCACTTCTGGAGGAATATTGTCGACCAAACGATATTCAGTACAGCAAATGATAAGACATAGACTTCGCCGTAGGGACTGCTGTGGGCGTAAAACGTGATAAAAATACCCAAAATGGCCGGAAATATCAACGCAAACGTATAGAAGCCTAAGAATGCAAAATAGATGGCAATCTTATGGCCAAAGTATTGACAAATAGTGTCCAGTGGTTGGGGGGAGAAGAAAGCGGCGACCCATTGGGTCCGCAGTTGTGATAATGTGTGCTCGTTGTGTAGCGGCAGGACTTGTTTGATAAGATTGCGGGCAATGAGTTTCGGTACAATCGGGTCCTTATGTTTCAGTTTCAGACGTTTCCACTCGTTTTGAATGATTGCCGAATTCTGATCGTCTCCTGAAGTGGTGAAACGCAATGTATTGAGAAAATGCATTATCAGTGTCTGCCTCTCGAGTGTGGTCAACGGGTGGGACGTCCGGTGCTGTTCGCTCAGCTCATAGCCTAACTGTTTGGCGCCGGACAGGAGTGTGTCGTCGGCGGCGGTGATATAAAACGCCTGTTCCTTATAGTGCGAGTGAGGCTTCACTTCGACGGTCAGTTCGGGCAGTTTGTCGGCCATAATCTGGACCAACGAGTCGATTATGTGATAGCCTTTGGGCGTAATAATGAGTATCACATCGTATTTGGGCGACTGATCGCTGTGCCGGTGCCACAGGAGGTGAGCGCCCGCCTCCTGTATGTCTTGGGTTTGCTTTTCGATGATATTCCTGATGTCGGACGCCTTTCGGGCGGAATTATTGCGTTTCCGAAGACTATTGGCCGACGAGGAGGGGCTCGTCGACGACAAGTCGTCCTCGAAATCCATTTTTCAAAATTATTAAATGACAGAAAAATATTTATAAATTTGTTTTTTTGTGGGGATTTAAAAATACAAAACATTTATAAATATAAAACACACACAAATCATAAACAGACTGTCAGTTTCTGGAGCTAAATATTAGCACAGAGTTTGAGCGAAGTTTTTTTTAAGGCAACCCATCGACACATAGACACTCTCTTGGAGTGAATCCAACAACAAATGCATTTCATAACTCTCTCCCCTCCCTCTGTATCTGTTACTCACTCTCTATCTCCGAGTGTATGGATATATCCCAATAGCTGTCTCGCAGTCGGAAATGTTATATCGATTTTTGTTCAGTGGCTTAAGTGTTGCTAAACAACTCAATATAAAAGTTGTGTTTTCTCTTTCACTCTTAACAATGCATTTGACGGCAAAACCAAATGATAGGCTGAGAGAGAAAAATATAAAAAAAGATAATAAATTATTGTAATCACACTATTATATGATAAAAAATACCGTTCAATGTTTTCAAATACCATATTTCATTCATAATAGCCATAAATTGCAATCAATTGGTTCACAGAGAACGCGACTCGGGTTTATTTTGTAATAATTGTTTATGTCTTTAATTTAACAGTAAAAAGCGTTTACCAATATATATATTTACACTTATATTTAAAACAAATATCAATTATATTTTGAATAATATCTTTTTTTTTGTTACTATAATTGAGTCGATTATTAATTAATTTTTTATGTGATTTAAGGTCTCGGGAGAGAAATCGGAAATTAATAATAATAAAATTCACAAAAAAAATATTTACAAAAATCTTTTGTCAACTTTTTTTTCATGTAATACTAGCACACAATAGTCGTCGGGAGTTATAATATAATAAATATTGTTTTTCATTCGCCACCGATTTGTGTGTAATATATATTTTTGTTTTTCTCATTGATTCAAAAATATGCCAAAAAAGACTTTTCCTAATATTAATAATTAAATTAAATTGATTCCCAATTAGTATTCTTCGTGAGTTATTCTTCGTATTCAATGCCTTCGCTCGGAGTTGTGGTGATCGTAGCGCTGCTTATGGTATGATTTATCCCACGATTTGTCCAAATTGTTACCCATATTTCGGTCAATATCTTTATGATTACTATTGTTATTATGGTTTCGATTGAAATCGCCGTTAAATCTATGCTTTTCGGACGCGATCTTTTGAAATGGATTGCCATTCATCTGGTGTTGATATTTCTCATTGTGTTTTAGCTTCACTTTCTTCGTCTATAAAATACAAACACTTTATTAAAGAAAAGTTTTGACACAAATAAACAAAAGCAATGCATACCTTTCCCCTATCAAACTCTTCATTGTAGTCCTCGTCGTCAAAATCATTAACAAATCGTTTCTCACCGCCGATAGAGGTGTCCAAAGTGGAGGGCCCGCCGGTCCAGGAATTCACTAATTTATTCAAATTAAACGTTAAATTATAGTTCATTTGTCAACAAAAGCGCAATTTTATCGTAAAGACAAACCTTTATCCCCAAACCCGCGGTGACTGTCCTTCAAGAGACCGTTGACCGTATCGTTGTGGACATCGTTGGCCACAATCGGTGCCTTCAGTGGCATCGAATTCAAATGATTGGGCGCATCGCCGGAGCCATCGATTCGCTTCTTTTTGGCCAAATCGTAGACATTTTCGTCCCATTTTCTCACATAAGGTTCTGATTGTCATAAATTCAACACAAAAAACAAAACACTCAATAAAAATGAATTTTAAAAAATGCAACTTTTATATCAATACCTGGTTTACTAACGGCAGTGATGTCTCTCTCCTTTTCGACCGTCTCTTTGGTCCTCTCAATCCATTGCAATTGATTTGCGTCCGAATCGGCATCGGATTCGCTTCCCGACGAGTGGTCACGCTTTTTGTGTTTCTTTTTCTTCGATTTCTTATTCTTCTTCTTCTTTTTCTTCTTGTGTTTCTTCTCATCACTGGAGGAGTCGTCGGAACCGCTGGACAATCGCCGTTCTTCGGCGCTGTGTTTACGCTTTTTCCGTTTCTCGTGCTTATGATGACTACCGGTATTCTTGTCGTCGTCCGCATCGCTATTGTTGGCCGACTTCGAGTGACTTCTGTCGTGTTTTTTAGACATTTTATGATCGTTTGTGCTGTCATTCGAACTCCGGTGCGAACTAATGCTTCGGCGGTCAAAATGACTGTCCCGTCGCTGATGACTGTCCGCAGAGGATTCGGCGAACGAATTACTATTTTCCGATTGTCTTGAGTCCAACTTTTTGGGTGACAAACGTTTTGGCGGCGAATCCGTCACCGATTTGTTTGAATAACTTCTATCATCAAAATTATCCTTCAAATGATTAACAGACAACTGAGCGGATGTGTTGACTGCCGATAAGGCGGCCGAAGAGAAGATGTTGGACGGGTTCTGAGCTGTTTTGCCGCTATTTGGCTCGATTTGAGACAATCTGTGTTTAGCGCTCGACACGGGAGTACTGACCGTCCCGTTGACAGTAGCGGGACATCCGTTGGGCGTCTGGTGTTTGCCATTGCGGTGCTTATGCTTCGAACGCGGAGTCCCTGAGAATTCGGGCTTACAGTCGGAGACCGACCACTCGTTTGTCGTAGAGTTGACACTATTTGTGCTCGAATTGGATGTGATCGACGGCGACCGGAGGGCACAGCTCTCGACCACATGCCATGAACTGGTGGTCGCCTTTACTTTCAACGTTATCGGCGCCAAAGGCACACAATTTGAAGCAACAGATTCTGAGGTATGGTTTTGTAAATTATTATTCAAATGTTTATTATTATTACTACTGTTGGCAAAGCCTTTGTTGTGTTTGGGGTTTGGAATGATTTGATTGGCGTTTGTCTTAATTTTTATCGATATATTCTCTAATTTCATCGACTTTTGCGGACTCTTATCCGACGAATCGCCCGAATTGTTACCGGCGGTCGTCGACGAGAACCGATTGTTACTATTATTAATTGATTTATCACAGAATGAGTTGTTATTATTGTTATTAAGACCGCCATTCATATGAAGAGTCGCGGGCGAGGAGTGGTTAACAGAAGAGGCGGCGGCGTTGGCGCCATTGGCGGGAGGTTTAGGGCTGTCCTCATCGGATGAATCGCTAGCGTAAGGCACTAAACCTTTTGTTATGTGATTACTATTATTGTTATTAACGGTATTATTCATTGACTTAGAGGTGGAGTTTTGTTTAATGAACTGGTGGTCGCCTTTACTTTCAACGTTATCGGCGCCAAAGGCACACAATTTGAAGCAACAGATTCTGAGGTATGGTTTTGTAAATTATTATTCAAATGTTTATTATTATTACTACTGTTGGCGAAGCCTTTGTTGTGTTTCGGGTTTGGAATGATTTGATTGGCGTTTGTCTTAATTTTTATCGATATATTCTCTAATTTCATCGACTTTTGCGGACTCTTATCCGACGAATCGCCCGAATTGTTACCGGCGGTCGTCGACAACGAGAACCGATTGTTACTATTATTAATTGATTTATCACAGAATGAGTTGTTATTATTATTACTATTATTAAGACCGCCATTCATATGAAGAGTCGCGGGCGAGGAGTGGTTGACAGAAGAGGCGGCGGCGTTGGCGCCACTGGCGGGAGGTTTAGGGCTGTCCTCATCGGATGAATCGCTAGCGTAAGGCACTAAACCTTTTGTTATGTGATTACTATTATTGTTATTAACGGTATTATTCATTGACTTAGAGGTGGAGTTTTGTTTGCGTTTCAACTGATTTTGTCCCGATTTTGACGGATCCGGCGGTGTTTGCGGCGCATTCATCGGCGGTATAACCGGTTTTCGGACGGGTATCGTTGTCGGCGCGTTGTTTTGCCGGTTCTTAAAGGCCTCCAACCGGTTGTGATCGGGCCGTTGCAGCTCAGGGCTCAGCCCGAGGGCCGGCTTTATTTTGATACCATTCTGTAAACACAAAATCATTAATAAAATGAGACTAAAACCAAAACAATGAATGTAACAACGCTTACAATAACGGGCGCCGGTTTGTGAAAGTCTGTGTCCACGCGTACGTAGAAAAGGACGTACGCCTGTTGGCTGAGCGCCTGGTTTTGGTTCACTTGAACCGTACGCGAGTCGTCCATCAGATACCAGAAGTTGTTTGAGTTGCGGACGTAACAGAAATAGTGACCCGAATTACAAGTGGGACCCAAATGGACTAAAACGGAGCTCAGTTTGTAGTTAATGGGCGGACCCTAACGTTCATTATAACCAAAAATATATTAATTAATCGTGTAATTAATGGCCACTTTTGTTAGCCATACCTTAGCCTCAGACATATAAGGCCTGAGATTGAGTCGCTCGGGATAAGTGACCGGTTTTGTGATTTTGCCGCCAAATATACGGTTGTAATCGAAACGCTTGAACTGAAATGTGGCCACATTTGGCGCAGAATATATGGTGAACTGTTTGCGGGCCAACACTTTCCGTTTACAACGCGTACACTTATAGGCGTTCTCACTCTGGAGTATCTCCGGAGCCGTGAACTTCTCCAACGCCTTCTCCAGAGTACTGACGTTCTGTTACCACAAAGACGTGAAATAATTAGTAAAAATATACACAAATATGGCATTTAATGGTTTCGCTTACTTTAATGTCGAGCATAAAGTCCATGAAATAGTCGTATGTATTGCTCTTCGCACTGCAGGACAAACAGATCACTTGACTTCGATGATAGCCGCCGAAGATCTGATTGATTGCTGTCGTCTCTTTGCTTTTGGGATCCAGTTTCTGGTGCTGAACGTTGTAATAGTTGAGACACGACTTCCACATGTTGTCCACGACGTAACGGAGAAACTCGTGGGCGTCCTCTTGACGGCCCAACTGGAAGTGTTTAGCGATCGACTTCAGGCGCCGGCAAACGTTAAAAGGCTTTACGGCGTCGACACTACTGCGGGTCTGGCGGACCACTTGTCTCATTTCGCAAACCATACAAAACATGTTTTGATTCAATTGATTACCTAAACGGTGATCAACACAAAGACATTGTAGCGTTAAAAACATACTGAGTGGTGATGTGTCACTCATGAGCGCTAATACGTACATCTGTTTTGCATGTGATCGTTGGTGTACAAGAGATAGTTGACTAATGGCGGGGAATAAGACAAACACTGGAGTACGCTATTGAGGAAACACGTGTTGCCCAGATTTGTGAGACCGGAACCAATCTTATGCGGCTTTCAGTGATAATAACAAAATGGAGTTAAAAAATTGGCCACAAAAAGCATTGGCGGATCAAATCAATACCTCTTTCCATTCCAAGAGAATGCGTTCGCGAGGGAAGAGCACCTGTTTGGGGGCCACCAGACCGTCATTACCCGTATTGTCATTACATGAGTTGCCATTCGTCACGGGAGATGTGTTGGCACTTAATTTGCCGCTCAGTTGACCGTTCAGTTTAATGGTGTCGTTGTTTAAGACATTATTGGCAAACAACCCATTGTTGCCATCATTTGTTAACACATTGTATTTCGATTGCAACGTCTTTTGGGACATCAGGTCGTCCTCATCGTCGCCGTTGGCCTCGAATTCCACGTGCGATAAGAGTAGCGAAGAACGGGAACCGCTCGATATCTTTGGGAGTATTGACGGATCAATTAATTGGTTTAAATAGCGATTAAAACAGACACAAAGAGGCGCCTAAAATATCATGTGATCAACAAATACCTGATTATTGATTGTTGAATAGTTCTCGTCAAGACATGAGCCCATCGTTTGGGTTTAATGTCTGTTCTTCGGGAGGAGGCGGTAGTAATGGACACACCGTCCGCACAGACAACACACACACACCGGGTCTCAACCCAATTGGTTGGCGGCAATGGATCCGTCAAAACACGCGATCGCCGCTCACGAGTGGCCGTAAATTCATAACACAATTTGTGACATAAATTAAATAATTAACTAAAATATCTAAACGTCTTGAGAGGCGAAAGAGTGGCACATATTTAGCGATACAAAAAACGTGTTGAATGTGTGGTAACGCTATGTATATCTCGCGAGATGTCTGGTTTCGGTCGGTCGGCGACCCGTCGGGCAGTGCTGTACACGTGTGGCCACAAGTGGTGCAAAAACTTGACTCACAAATGGGGTTAAAAATATGTGTTTAAAAAGGGGGGCAAAAATGAACACCAACAACCACCTTGGTCAATTTAAAAGCATTATTTAAAAACTATATATATATTTGTAGACGCGATGTGTGTCTGTCTGAAAGACTGTATGATTTGTTTTATATGTTTTTGTATTTAAAAACTACACAAAACTGTGTCTAAAAGGTTTGGGTTTGCGTTTGAAAGGCCTCTCTCTCAGCGACAAAATGGCTTTTATGACTACTATAGCGTCACTGTATATACTGTTAGCACACTGTGTATTGAAGGCTACCCTTCGCCAGTGTATCGCAGGTACAGTGTGTGCTGAAAAGGCGCTCAACAATACGATACACGTTATGACTGCACGCATACTGTGTTTTCTCATTGAAAAACGAGGTCTGCGTTGGGTTTGCATTGAGAGGAGAGAAAAGTGCCGATAAAAGCACACCATTTGTGTTTTGCATTCATTATACACATAGACTATACGGCCCTCTATTGGCCACTAAATATATTTACATTTATTTGTTTAAAAAAGTTTTTAATTTAGTTTTTTTAGTTAACAATTTGTTTAATAAATTACTATTGATTTTATGATGTGTTTTCTTGTTTTATAAGTTTGTTTTTATCGTTTATTTTACAGAATATTTTCCATCTCTTTCATGAACTGGTCGTAAGCGTCGCCTTTTGTCGGCGCATTCAGACCAGTGCTGCTGTCGTCCGGACCGGTCATCGCATACCTCTTCATATCACTGCCAAAACCTGTAAGAAAACCAAACAAAATGTTAACCAAATGTTAATACAATTTATGGTCAATAAATACCCCGTCTTTGAGCGAACGCTGATTTCTTAACCGCTTTGTCGTCGCGTTTCACGCGAAGAGCTACGGGTGTGAATCGGGTCGCGTCGGCGCTCAGATTTCTAAGCTGTGGTTTGGCTTCAATGGTCGCTCTGTCGGACACGACGTGCGCTTTCTTATCGTCACGTTTGCCGGGCATTAGTGCCGACGCGGCGCCGGGGAATCCCCCGCCCGATGGCGGACCCATTGGCGGTCTCATGGGTTGTCCCATAAGCGGTGGTCGCGGACCGCCCATCATTCGGTGCGGCGGCGGACCGCCGGGTCTCATACTGCCGGGCGGTGGCGGCCCAGGCATTGGTCCACCCATTGGTGGCCGACCGACCATTAGTCCGGCCATATTTGGCGGTTGAGATGATGAACGCATTCCCGGTTGATGTCCGGGTGGCCTGAAGAGCATCATTTGCGGCGGTGGAACCGGTGGCCGACCAGAAGGCTGTATGTTTGTCATGAGAGACGGCGGCGGAGGCATTGCGTTAAGTGGTGGCTGAGTAGTGGCGGCGGCGGCGACGGGTGTGGGTAGAGATGCGATCACCGCCGACGGCAACGACTGCATAGATTTGGACGTATCATCACTACTCGTACCACTCTTTTGCTCCATTTGGTCCAACTCTTTAAGAAACTCATTGACATCGGAGTCCTTTTCAGTGGCGATCGGATCGTCACTAAATCTGATCCTTTTATTGCGTTCCTTCTCGTCGTCATCGCTATCGTCGTCGATATCGTCTTCGCCATCGCTGAGGACCGGTGGCGGACCCGGCGGTACTCCGGGAGGTGTCCGATGGGGTCCCACCATATGTGTGGACGACATGTGCGGCCGCTTTAGTATTGACTGAGGAATGGAGTGTTCGTTGGGAAACATCGGCGCCGAACCCAAACCAGAGGACAGGTTGGGATCAGTCGGCATCGCCGACGGCAACGGTATGTCATCAATGGTCACCTCTTGAGCCGATTTAACTGATTCGTAAAACTTCATCATTTGGTTGCGTTTGGCCTCATATTCCACTTCCATTCGCTTCAATTCGACAAACCTCTGGTGATCTTCTTTGTTCTGCGAAGACAATTGGTCCCAATTATTATCAATCATATAAGACAATCGCCGGCAGAGCTGACGGACACCCAAAGAGGTGTCGGCGACAGCGCCGATCATAACAGACACTCACGTATAGCCTCAACAGCCGATCCCACGTCTCCTTCATCTTCCGGCGCTTGTCTTTCAGCACCTTTTCGTTGAGCGGCGGCGGAGTCGACACGTTGTACTCCATCTGATCCAGTCTTTCCATGTCGGCGATTATCTGATACGGATCTTTGCCCTTCAATACAGCGGTTCTCACGATCAGCCGTTGCTTCTTGTTCTGTACAGATTGGACAACGAAAAAAAAGACAATCAATGGTAAGAGACAATGGCTTAGGAGGAAGTGGTGTTTCTGTGGCAAACCTTCCGGAGTTCCCGCTTTCGGGCCTCTTTCCTGTGCTGATCCGTCGGATTCATATATTTACCACTTTTAGTGGTATTTATCGATCGTCGGCCCATCTTCTCGAGCGGATCAGTTACCACTTAATTATCACTTAATTTCAATCTTTTATTAATAATAAACAAAATTTAAATAAAAACTTTGATTTAAATTAAAAATAATTGTTTTGTTTTCACTGTTTGTGAAAAGCATTTCAAAAACAATAACAAAACGATTGAATGGCTTATAAATAAATAACGTCTAAAATTCATACCTTAAAAAGTTTTTGCATAAATTGTGGTTAAATTGTTATGTTTTTAGTTAATTATTTTAATTTATGATGAGATTAATTGTTACAAATTTATTTAAATCGGATTAAAAATTATTGCATTTATTTATTAATTAAATATAACATTCAATTACAAACATATCTCGTGTGGAAAACACATGTTATGTATAATATAAATACATCGGAATATTCTGGTAATTCTGGTGGGCTTTTAGGCGTTGGGGGTATAGTATATGTCATTATGTATTTCCTATGACTAGTAGTCGTATAAATCAAGAATCGATTATTAATTCAATATTAATTAAGAAATATACTGTATATATAATTTACAATTCATTTAAAAATCACATTCAGTATTGGATTTTAATCATAAAAATTCTTTCGTGGAGTTTAACAAACAATTTAACAATCAATCACTTTATAAATACTTTTATGGGTTTTAATAATAGTAATAATAAGAGTGAGAGAGAAAATAAACTACAAATACGATCGTTAATAAAAATAAATTATACAATAAGTTATAAAATGTAAAAAACACATAAATTTCCATTCAATTACAATCACTGAATATTCTGTCAGACATTCATTAAATTAGACTTATATTTAGCTAATAAATGCTGTAATCAATAATTAATAGCTTTTTATTATTGAGTGACAAAACGCCGAAATGTATCGACTCTTCAGTACAGTATATCAAAATCACAACGAGTTTACAAATACTTTGTGTTACTTTCCATTATGTGCTCGTATTTCATACAAATTAATACATAAATTAAATAATTATTCGTAACGTAGACTTAAAAACACGAATTAATAATAAATATTTTGTTATTAATTGATTCTTAGAGTTATAGTATAGGTAATGAAAAACATGTTTGAAATTATATTTGAATCAAATAAACAATTAAAGGGCGAGAAGTAGTTAAAAAGGAGAGAAACATTTGAATTCAAACATAATTTCGTTGTTCATCGGATAATATTTGGCATCAAATCAATTATGGGATTAAATAACTAACATATTTGTGAATATCATCGGAGAAAACAAAACAAAAAACATTATTAAAATAAATACTCCATTGGAAATGTGGAGTATAGGTAAAATCCGGGGCAAACAACTCATGTGTGCAAACAAAACAAACATACAAATTACACAATCATTTGTTTTGTTAAATTTCATATAAAAATCACTCAAAATAAATCTCAATCTATTAGAAGTGAAATCAATTCTTGTACTTCACTGTTACGGCTATACACATATGCGGTCGTCTCCCACAGCATATTCACCAGTTTTGTGTTGTCGGTCTCATTGAGGGGTATGTCCTCCGAGAGGGGAGGGTTCACACGGAAATAGGGAATATTGATTTGCGAACACCAGGCCTTCGCTCTCTCCACCACCTGTCCGTCCGCCTGAGCGGCCTATAGGTTACGACATACAGACACTCCGTTTAAATACAATCCATTAAATGTACAATTCATACAAATTTAAATACCTGTTCAATGAGAAGCTGTAGTAACGCTGAAGTGGAGAATAAGGTCTTCGTCACACCTGAACGATATAATGAAGAATAAAGTGGTTTAGAAATATATAACATGTGTGACAAATAAATGAAGTAATGTCTGACCCATAATGGAGTCGGGTCTGCAAATGTCGATCACTTGGCCCTGTTTTATAGGTATGGCTCCCGTTCCCAATGACACCACTATATCTACATTCAATTCTTCTGATTTACGATTCTGTACACAAAAGTCAAGACAATTGACATGTATTAACAGTATTAACAAAACAAATTTCGCTTCAAATACACGCTTACCATAACATTAAGGGCTCTATTAATTGAGTGAATTTCTGTCAATGTATCCAACGTTGGATTATTAGAGATAAGACCGCCTATAATATCAATACAAATGAAATAATTAATTTGTTTATAGAAATAACAATCTATTGGTTACCGTCGAGGAATGCACCGCATGGACGGAAATATGTTGGCGCGGCGCCCGACGAGCGGGCAGTCTTCCAGACGAGTTGCTCCTGGAGTTTAGGCATATCAGAGACGGGCTCTACTCGTGAGATAAATCCCAAGATATCGTTCGGCGACTCATAGTTGCGGAAGAGGTGCAAATCGGGCGGAAAACGGTCGGACACTGTGGCCGTTAGCATAATTCGCGGCTCCTTTATGTCACTCATACGGGTGTCCTCTCCGAGCGCTTTCTGTAAGAATTTCTCCAACGGTTCCGATTCGTACGGACGCATTAGACCCACAAATACTTTGTCTTTTAACTTAAAGTACAGTTTACGGCAATCGGACGCTGTTTTTGTGCGCAAAATATACAGTTAATTGTAATTCAATTCATTTTGATTGCGACGATTGTATTGGTTTGTGAATTAATACCTGAGTTTCCCATCGCCAGCAACAGAGCCAATATTCCTCCAGTACTGGTGCCGGACATCCAATCGAAATACTCGGACGCCTTCTTATTCGTCATTTTCTCCAAAACCAATTGGTTTGTGAATTAATACCTGAGTTTCCCATCGCCAGCAACAGAGCCAATATTCCTCCAGTACTGGTGCCGGACATCCAATCGAAATACTCGGACGCCTTCTTATTCGTCATTTTCTCCAAAACCCATAGGATTTGGATGAGAATCAGACCACGAATGCCTCCGCCATCTAAGCTCAACACTCGGCACCGTTTCTTGGGTTCGCTATCAAAATCCACTTCCATTTGTTGGGATTTTTTCCGATTCAACGCCTCTTTGACCACTACTTCGCCCAACAGTTCGTCATAGAGTTTGGCACTTCTCTTGAAGGGGGAGTTCTCGGGCGGAATGCCGTTAAAATGTGAGCCATTAGACTGCGAACAGCCGTCGGTACAGTTGGACCGATTGGTGGGACAGCGTTTGGCGCCCACCGAATGCAACACATATAAAATAAGGTCCATTTGAGGCGTGCGTTTAGCCGAAGCGGCCAAATGACGGGGCGTTTCGCCGCTAGAGTTGGACACATTCATGTCGGCGCCGAACACAACCATCGCCTGCACGAGTGCCACCTGACCCGCCTTCACGGCCAGATGGAGGGGAGTGTTGCCGTTCGGGCCTTTGGCCGACACGTCGGCCCCATAGCTGAGTAGTGTTATAACGCACGACAGTTTGTTTCGGTTGACCATAAGGTGGAGTACGGTCTCGCTCTGGAAGTTGCGGGCGTCGACATCGCATCCCTGTTCTATCAACACTTCCATACAATAGGGTGTATTCGTCCAGTGGAGTGGTGTTCCGCCGTTCTTCATGTCCTTCGTGTCCAACGAGTCAAACACTGTCTTATTGTTGTCCAACTCTCGAAGGCCGGGCGCGTCGTCGGCGCCGATGGCCGCGCCGTTAGGGTCGGCGCCGTTCTTAAGCAATTCGATGATACACTCGGGTTTGTCGTTATGACACGCGAGATATAGGGGCGGAAAGTTGTCCCGATTTCGGGAATTCACTAGAAGTTCCTTTAATTACGGTAAGCGCAACAAGACTTGCGATTCTGTATAGAACAAATATTAGAGAAATCATCACAACCGCCGCTTTACGTCCTGTAATAACAAGAGCAACAGGTGCTGCAGCTCAAACCCGCTGTACGCCAACAGGGCCTGAATGGTGGCAATACGACCCGTCCGTACGGCAATATGCAATGGAGTCATTCCCGAATCGGGACACCGATTGTTGATTATCTCCTCGTCGGCGGCCGTCAGTTGCCTGAAGAACTCGTTGAGACCAAAATAGGCCGAAATGTGGGTCAAACTCTGGTTCAGGTGTTCTCTAACATAATTGGAGAATTCTTGTAGAAATTCATTGGTTATACTGTTTGGCGAAATCAGTAGTATTTGCGGTAATTTTTCACTAAAACTCTTGAAATATGTGTCCACTTCTGTCCGCACTTTACACCGAATTAGGCTATAATTTGTAGCAAAAAAAACCACAAAAATAAAGAGTTAGAACAGGTGTTAAAACTATATAATCTCATTCAATCCCATGACCTAATGGTATACTATTTATATCCATATATTGTAATCCCATAATCCGTAAGAAAATACCCAATTTATTCCCAAATTAATACCCAATTAAGTCTTCAAATAAATTCATTTTAAGCGCTAATCCATTCATTTATACCCACAAAAAAATCAATCAAAAAACAGTGACATATAAAACACATGTGTCACTAAATCAATGGCATAATTTAGTTTGAAAACTGTCTTAAATGTAAATAATAATTACATTTAATTTCCTATAAAATCACTCAAAAGTTATTAAAACACGCTTTATATAGAAATACAAATGACAATTAAAAACCCGTTTTATGTGAAACACAAATAATTGCAACAATTAAATACATTTGTCATGAAAATTAAATGCATTAAGTTATAAATTATAAAACAATTTAGCTGAAAGAATATGTAAGAAATATATGATATTAATAGAGTTGAAGGCGGAACAACCTAGAACATTACTGTGCATTAAAATGTACCCCGGTAGTTATACAAATCACTTCCCAAATATGGTTATTTTATAAATAAACGAATTTCCTATACTATTACTGTTAGACTTAAACCTAATAACACATATAATTCCCGGGAATTCGTGTCAAGAGATAATTGCAGGTGTTTTGAGTCACAGATATTCCTCTTAAGATGTCTTCTATATTATGTCATTCTTTGTGTGACAATAAACTACAGTAAAGACTAAAACCTTAACAACACTTAATTCCGTTATACAAAGACATTCCTCGAGAGATCTATGAGTGATAGTAGTGTCGGTATTATCAACACAAGTGTCAACACAATGGCATCAAAACATGGGATCAATTGTAATGACAGACAGAAGGCGGGCGTCCAATACCTGTAAGCGGTTTTGCTTTGAAGGTCTTTGAAGACAACGATCTCGTAGTTGATCTCATTGTTGGCGATGTGATTGGCGTAACAGAACAGCGGATCCTCTCTGGCGATCACCTGATAGTGGACGTAGTCTTCGGGCTTCACTTCCACCACTTGAAACACGGGGTAATCGTTCACATTCTTGCGGAACAGATTCACCATACGGTCGAAGTAAGACATCTTCGGCCCTAATGATTGGTTCCGCTAATGGGATGGTATTGTCCGGTGATGTGTCTCGTAGTCGATGGACACACCAGTTGTCAAAGCAGTTCAATCACGTGTGGTATGAATCGAGGTATATATCTTCGGATAATCACTGGAAATGATGACACAAACAGCTGATCCCAGATGTCTGTGTGAAATGTGGTAACAAATGTGAAAAGCGATGGTTAGAGTGGGATGTGTTGATCACCGCTAAGACATTGCATCACTTGATTGTATGTGTAATGCGTTTAAACGTGTAATACATGAATGTATTCACAATTAGATAACACTTATATGTATTTCACACCAATTGTTATGTAATATGAATATAACGTTAACTTAACTCTCGATTTCCACTATTGATCGCAAACTTTGAAAACACTGTAAACATAAACATTACAAAAACCCAACACTAAAACAGTTGTGATTGGGTTTATGCACACAAATAT